ATTTATTGGTGGCCTATTATGGGCAGGCATTATCCTGTGTGTTACCTATAAACATCATTACAGGATGTTTCTTGAGATAGGCCTTATTATTTATACTTCATAGATATTGAAGGTGAATAACAAATTTCCCTAAAGTCATCAACTTTCCCTGGCAGATCTCACAGGCTAACAACGTTACTTTTTTTTTAACAATGTTACTTTAAAAAAATTATTTTTATGAGCACCTGGGTAGCTCAGTTGGTTAAGTAGTAGACTCTTGATTTTGACTCAGGTCATGATCTCAGGATCCTGGGATTGAGCCCAGAGTCGGAATCAGGTTCCACGCTCAGGGGGGAGTATACTTGAAGATTCTGTCTCCCTCTTCCTCCGCCCCTCCCCCTGCTCACGTACACACACTCTCAAATAAATAAATCTTTAAAAAAATTATTTTGAGACAATACAAAATAATAAGAAAAATATTATCAAAACTGTACCTGATATCTACATTTCCTTCTGGTCCTTTATTGTTATATATGATTATTTTTAAAAGATTTTATTTATTTATTCATGAGAGACACAGAGAGAGACAGAGATACAGGCAGAGGGAGAAGCAGGCTCCTCACAGGGAGCCTGATGTGGGACTTGATCACCGGACCCAGGAACATGCCCTTTGCCAAAGGCAGATGCTCAACTGCTGAGCCACCCAGGTGTCCCGTTATATATGATTTTTATAGCTCAGATCACACTGTACATATAATTTTTTAAAGATTTTATTTATTTATTCATGAGAGACACAGAGAGAGAGAGAAGCAGAGACACAGGCAGAGGGAGAAGCAGGCTCCATGCCGGGAGCCTGATGTGGGACTCGATCCCGGACTCCAGGATTGCGCCCTGGGCCAAAGGCAGGCGCCAAACTGCTGAGCCACCCAGGGATCCCCATCCCCGATTTCTTCTGTCAAATGCCTAGATAATTTGATTGGTTAAGGTTACACAGAAGCATTGGAAAATTGGAGGAACCATGAGGAAATGACCAGGAAACTGCCTGGTTGGGGTCTCTGCTGCTTTGGAAAGTGGATATTCTTGCGGAGGAGCGAGACAGTACTGACTGAAAGGGTGCTCAATCAGATCAATGTGGGGGCGAGCAAGGATGGGAAAGAGAGTAAAAGCATTAGGATTGTTCCTAGATGCCTGCCTTGCCTCTTCTAAGGTGAGAACATAATTTACCAGGAAAAAAAATCTATTTCAAACTAGCCTCAGACCTTAACATTTCTCTCTGATCCCGTTTATATTTGTCTCTGATCCAGCTTGTAACATTAATATATTTATATATACCTTAAACCACATTAAATTGTGCTTTGTAGTCCGTAAATTTAAGGGTTTTTTTTGTTTGTTTGTTTTGTCTTTTTTAATGCTGGGTTTGCAGCTCACTGGTTGAGCATCTGCCTTTGGCTGGGAGTGTGGTCCCGGGAGTCCCAGGATCGAGTACCACATCGGGCTCCCTGCAGGGAGCCTGCTTCTCCCTCTGCCTGTGTCTCTGCCTCTCTCTGTGTCTCATTAATAAATAAAATCTTAAAAAATAATAATAAAGCTGGCATTTACCAAGATCTTTAAAAATAAAAAATACGGGCACTTCTTTTTTAGGACTCAGTGGTTGAGCAGCTGCCTTCAGCTCAGGGTGTGAACCTGGGATCCTGGGAGGAGTCCGGCATCCGGCTCCCTGCAGGGAGCCTGCTTCTCCCTCTGCCTGTCTCTCCTGGATAAATAAAATCTTTTTTAAAAAATAAAAAATGTCTTAATAAGCTTGTTTCAACTTAGTTTTTTCTGGCAGAGTGTAATTGGACAGAAGGGTGGACACAGAACCTTCCCTATGAGTTATATCAGCTGACCTTCTCCCCATCCCCTCCTTTTTAAAAAGATTTTATTTACTCATGAGAGACAGAGAGAGGCAGAGACACACAGGCAGAGGGAGAAGCAGGCTCCATGCAGGGAGCCCGATGCGGGACTCCATCCCAGGTCTCCAGGATCACGCCCTGAGCTGAAGGCAGACACCCAACCGCTGAGCCACCCAGGCATCCCCAACATTCTTCTTTTAACTGCAAATAACCACAAATTTTATTGTTTCATTATTATACACATAAGGAAATAAATTAGTTCAGATTAATTGGTCCGTCACTTAGCATTGCATACTTGGTTACCTTTCCTTTCTTTCTTTTTTTTTAAGATTCTACTTAATTATTCTTGAGGGACAGAAACAGAGGGAGAAGCAGGCTCCATGCAGGAAGCCCGACGTGGGACTCGATCCTGGGTCTCCAGCATCACGCCCCGGGCTGAAGGCAGGCATTAAACAGCTGAGCCACCCAGGGATCCCTCACTTTTACCCATTTCTAATAGCAGCCTCCCCCCAATGGCTAGAGAAATTTCAGTTGTTTCCTGTCCCATTGGACTATAAAGACCCATGTTTAGTCCAATTTTTACTCACTGAGTGACTGGTGAAATCGGGGTAGAGACAACAGAAGGTAAAAGTGGGTATTTTATTTGTACTTAAGCCATCCAAACTGGTAGTATTATCATGATACATTAAAATACAAGACATCTTTCTACAACTACTAGAATGAACAAATTAACAATTCTAGTAAATCACAAAGGGCAGAGGAAACCAATGAAGCATATTGTATATAGCTTAACCCTTCACCGTTAATGGAGGTGATGAAAACAAGACTCACAATCTCAGAAAATACAATTATCCTTTATCACCGGTCTTTGTATTTTTACTTCCTTTTCTTGATATAATCTACAGCCTAAAGATACCTGAATTAGTATTACATCTAGTTATCTATAGCCAGAAACATCTTATCATGTTGTCCATAGCAGCCAACGCTACTGAAACCTTTGACTCCAATCATATCCCCTCAATGGATACATTCAGCATAATAGGACACTATCGAGGCAGAGATATAGGACCCTAAAAGACAAATCCAATCAGAAATAATACTGCCCAAATTGAGATCGAATAATATACTTATCAGCACACATCTTCAGGTTGAATGTTCAGAGTAATTTGGGAAAAAAATCCATTATTTGCTGAGTACTAAAATACTTAGTGGATTGCTGTAGGACACCATGGCTTTCCCCAGCAGTTTCGAAGATGGACTCCAGATCGCCCATAGAATTTTGCTGGAACTGGATGGGGGGCTGCAGCGATTCCTCTTCACAGTTGTGGAGCAGATTGTTCCAGGCCTGGTTGTTCCAGGCTTGGGGGCACCAGGTCTGACTGTTCCAGGAGTGGTTGCTCCAGGATTGGCTGTTCCAGGTCTGGCTGCTCCAATACGGCCTGGCTGCTCCACAGTGGGAGGTTTCCAGAAGGGTTCGGCAGGTACCCCTGGCGACAGGGGTAGAAGCCTGCGTATTCCGTGGTGGCAGAGCTGTTCTGAAAGGGAATGGCGGGTTAACCCAAGAGCTCTAAGGAAAATCAGAATTGTGTGTGGGCCGCGTCTTAAGCTTTAGCAATGAGCAGAACGGGAAAGTCCTTGAAAAGAAAGCAGAAAAAATAAAAGCTTCCTGTTACCTGAGTCACACTGTTGCTCTCCTTTGGCCAGTTGCTTTTCTGCCAAATCTTGCTTCTCGTCCTCCGGTTCTGGAACCAGGCTTTAACCTACAAGGGAAAAGTGACAGGAAGACATGAAATACCAGTAGTGCGGATATGCTAGGGATCAAAGATTATTGTTGACATTGTTTCCCCCGACAACAGCTACCTAAAGCTCAGGAACAAGACAAACTTCTAGAGTCCTTCCTTTCATTCACGGAAACAATGTTCTAGGGATGGATGTCAACGCCCTTTTTCAATGAGCCTACCAGTTTAGAGAAGACACATTACATATCTATTCACTAGGAAGTTCACGTTTACTTTTCTTAAAGGATTTTATCTATTTATTCATTGGAGACACAGAGAATCAGAGACACAGGCAGGAGAAGCAAGCCCCACATGGAGAGCCTGATATGGGACTCTGATCCCAGGACCCCAGGGTCACACCCTGGGCCAGAGGCAGATGCTCAACCACTGAGCCACCCAGGTACCCCTAGAAGATTCACATTTAAATAAATGTCTAGGAGTGCCTGTGTGGTTCAATGGGTTAAGCGGCTGCCTTAGGCTTGGGTCATAATCTCAAGGTCCTGGTATCCAGCCCCATATCAGGCTCCCTGCTCAGCGGGAAGTCTGCTTCTCCTTTTCCTTGAATGTCCTGCTGTCTTTCTCAAATAAATAAAAATAAATAAATAAAATAAAAATTAAAAAATGAATGAATGAATGTCTACCCACCTCTTTATTCATACTTACTCACGCCCCTAGTTGGTTAAATGTACTTTGTGATTAAAAAAACCTCCTCCATAAGCACACTTTTTTTTTAAAGATTTTTAATTTATTTGTTCATGAGAGACACACACAGAGAGGCAGAGACACAGGCAGAGGGACAAACAGGCTTCACGCACCAAGCTCGATGTGGGACTCGATCCTGAATCCTGGGATCACACCCTGAGCTGAAGGCAGACGCTGAGCCACCCAGGCATCCCCATAAGCACACTTCCATTTAATACAATAATAGTGGTAATTTTAACTCAAAAATTATGAAATATACCACTAGGACAACTATTGAGAAAATATCAAGTTTTGTAGGAGCACACAGTAAACTTAAACTTCCAAATGATTTACAATGATACATGAGAAAATGAAATTAAGAAGGACCAGAAGTATGTATGTACAGGTGTACACACACACAATAACTTATGGAATGGAGGTCTTTGGGGATGCCTGGGTGGCTCAGCGATTGAGCATCTGCCTTTGGCTCAAGGTGTGATCCTGGAGTCCCAGGATCAGAGTCCCACATGGGGCCCTCCTGCGTGGAGCCTGCTTCTCCCTCTGCTGGTTTCTCTGCATCTTTCATGAATAGAGAAATAAAATCTTAAACAAAAGGAATGGAGGACTTTGTCTAAGTATGGCACCAGTGATAGAAAAACACCATAAGAGCGTCAACAGCAGCACCATGGTAGCTCAACAGAAGAACCTTGAAGGCTATGTGGGATTTGCAAATCTCCCAAATCAAGTATACAGAAAATCAGTGAAGAGAGGGTTTGAATTCACACTTATGGTTGTGGGTGAATCTGGACTGGGGAAGTCAACATTAATCAACTCATTATTCCTCACAGATTTGTATTCTCCAGAGTATCCAGGTCCATCGCATAGAATAAAAAAGACTGTACAGGTGGAACAATCCAAGGTTTTAATCAAAGAAGGTGGTGTTCAGTTGCTGCTCACAATAGTTGATACCCCGGGATTTGGAGATGCAGTGGATAATAGTAATTGCTGGCAGCCTGTTATTGACTACATTGATAGTAAATTTGAGGACTACTTAAATGCAGAATCTCGAGTGAACAGACGTCAGATGCCTGATAACAGGGTGCAGTGTTGTTTATACTTCATTGCTCCTTCAGGACATGGACTTAAACCATTGGATATTGAGTTTATGAAGCGTTTGCATGAAAAAGTGAATATCATTCCACTTATTGCCAAAGCAGACACACTCACTCCAGAGGAGTGCCAACAGTTTAAAAAACAGATAATGAAAGAAATCCAAGAACATAAAATTAAAATATATGAATTTCCAGAGACAGATGATGAAGAAGAAAATAAGCTTGTTAAAAAGATAAAGGACCGTTTACCTCTTGCTGTGGTAGGTAGTAATACGATCATTGAAGTTAATGGCAAAAGGGTCAGAGGAAGGCAGTATCCTTGGGGTGTTGCTGAAGTTGAAAATGGTGAACATTGTGATTTTACAATTCTAAGAAATATGTTGATAAGAACACACATGCAGGACTTGAAAGATGTCACTAATAATGTACACTATGAGAACTACCGAAGCAGAAAACTGGCAGCTGTGACTTATAATGGAGTTGATAATAACAAGAACAAAGGGCAGCTTACCAAGAGTCCTCTTGCACAAATGGAAGAAGAAAGAAGGGAGCATGTAGCTAAGATGAAGAAGATGGAGATGGAGATGGAACAGGTGTTTGAGATGAAGGTCAAAGAAAAAGTTCAGAAACTGAAGGATTCAGAAGCTGAGCTCCAGAGGCGCCATGAGCAAATGAAAAAGAATTTGGAAGCACAGCACAAAGAATTAGAGGAAAAACGTCATCAGTTTGAAGATGAGAAAGCAAACTGGGAAGCCCAACAACGTATTTTAGAACAACAGAACTCTTTGAGAACCTTGGAAAATAACAAGAAGAAAGGGAAGATCTTTTAAATCCTCTATTGACCACCAGTTACGTATTAGTTGCCAATATGCCAGCTTGGACATCAGTGTTTGTTGGATCCGTTTGACCAATTTGCACCAGTTTTATCCTTAATGATGGATTTAACAGCATGACAAAAATTATTATTATTTTTTTGTTCTTGATGGAGATTAAGATGCCTTGAATTGTCTAGGGTGTTGTGTACTTAGAAACTAACAGCTCTAAGTACCTTTCCTACATTTTATTTCTTTCTTTCCTTTTTTTTTTTATTAAACAGATGTCTTCAATTTAATGCAAGAAAACATTTTACTGTTGTACAACCATGTTCTGGTGGTTGGATTGTTTACAGGATATTCCAAAAATAAAAGGACTCTGGAAGGTTTTCATTGAGGATAAATTGCCATAATATGATGCAAACTATGCTTCTCTATGATAATTATAATACAAAGGTTCCATTCAGTGCAGCGTATACAATAATGTAATTTAGTCTAACACAGTTGACCCTATTTTTTGACACTTCCATTGTTTAAAAATACACATGGAAAAAAAATCCTATATGCTTACAATGCACCTAGAGCTTTTTTATAACAACCTTTTTTTGTTTATTTGTTTGTTTTGGATTCTTTAAATATATGTTATTCTCATTTAGTGCCCTCTTTAGCCAGAATCTCATTACTGCTTCATTTTTGTAATAACATTTTATTTAGGTATTTTCCATATATTGGCCCTGCTAAAATAGAATATAGCATCTTTCATATGGTAGGAACCAAAAAGGAAACTTTCCTTTAATTCCCTTTTTACACGTTATGGTAAGTAGCAGGGGGAAAAATGCATTTATAGATCATTTCTAGGCAAAATTGTGAAGCTAACGACCAACCTATTTCTACCTATGTGCCGTCTCTTTATTTTACTAGAAATGGGAATCATGGCCTCTTGAAAAGAAAAAAAAGTCACCATTCTGCATTTAGCTGTATTCATATATTGCATTTCTGTATTTTTTTTGTTTGTATTGTAAAAAATTCACATAATAAACAATGTTGTGATGTAAAAAAAAAA